TTTTTTTTTTTTACTTTTTTTTCTTTCACCGAGTAAGCAAATTCAATTTTTTCTTCCAGTATTCAACTGAGTATACATCGTTTTAAAATTATTATCGAATGACCATCTATATAATTATAGTGGGAGAGACTCGAGCTAAACTTTTACTAATCCGTATCGGTTAATGAACGTAATTTAGTTCTTAAATGTAAAAATTAAAAAAACAAATCAACAAAGTATTAATTTACACAAATCCAATGTAACAAATGGACATTATGCTACCATTTTTTTCGAGACAAAATTTTCTCGTAACAAATGATCTGTCAAATGTCAAAATTTAATGATTCTCCGTGGTCCCAAGTCGTTTTTTTACGTACTCGAAGAAGAAGGAGAAAAAAAAAACAATTTCCTCCCTGGAGAGTTGAAATTATTCGACACACGACGAAAATGACCCACGTAAGAGCAAAGTTCTGTATCGCTCGCTCGCAGCTAAAAGGCACAAAACAAAGAGAAACGAGAGAGAGAAAAACGAATACATTCGGTAGAAAAAAAAGTTCGTGATCGTTTAACACATATATATTATGTGTATGTACAAGCTACACGGTAAAGACGTACTATTATAAGCTAATGGCCTAAATATCTCTCTTCCTCGGCTCCACTTTGTGTTCCTCACCAGGCAAATCATGAAAAATGAATCAAGTTAAACGCCGTCTTCCTCTTTTTACTCTCTATCTTTTTATACACACGCACCACACAAACCCATGCAATGCACGAGTAGCAAATATAAAGGTGTATCCGTATATTCAACAGCAACGACAAAGTGAGCAGCTATAAAAGTATATATAATCTCCCGACAACGCGTCAGCTTCCTTTAATATTGGATCATCATCCGAGTCCTGCGTCCCTCTGGAATTAAATTTCCCCTCGCCTCCACAGCTTTTACACTCGCCCCATGGATTCGGCTTCTGTTACGTGTATACGTGTATATAGCTGTACTTGCTCTCCCTCTCTCGGCGTCGTTTGTCATCTCGTACCTAGTAACACAATCTCCAAGGGGCATTGCTTCTCCAGCGGGTATTGTACGTTGTAAGGTATATGCGTATATCTACTGTTTCTCCCCCGACCCGCATCAGCCAAACTCTGTACTGATAACGCCGCGCGCGTTTACGTGATGCGTTTCAACTCCGTTCCAACTTGCAGCTTTTCTCCAACCCGTCCGCTGTCTCTCCCACATCTAGGTACATGCATGAACGTTACACCCGCGTCAGTTTAAAACCTTGTCAGTTTTTAGATTGCTACGGTGTTTAGGGAGTCTATTGTATTTTTTTTTTCTTTTTCCATGAATTGTAGCGCACGTGTATCTGTTTTTAAAGTATAATGCTTCTATTTGGTCCGATTTTTTTTTTTTTCTTTTTTTCATACAAAGAAATCAATAGTCAACGGAGCGAGTAACAAAAAACAAATTTAAAATAATGCATACTTTGATTGGTCTGTTTCTCTGGTTGTCTGTCGTGGAAAATATACTAACGTTTGTGTTACGATTCGACCGATGAAACTGCACGAGGAGCAAAGTGAAGTTAATTAAAATCACAGCAATACACGAAAAGTGAGCCGTATAAACTAAAATAGTCGCTTTATTAAAGCACCGTTTGACAACAAAAGCGAGACAAGTTTGAATTAAAGCGTTCGTTCGATAGGTATGTATATGTATTTAGTAGAAAAAAAAAAAAAAAAAATGTAATGATATTTACTCAACGAAGCTTCCCTCGTCGACTGAATAAATTACACGAGTATTAAATTTTGGAAAGAAAGTTTGTTGTAAACAGGTACACGATGCATTTTCAGTTTCCACCTTTAAAATCGTTCACTTTGCAGCAAATTTTATACAAAAGATGAACACGATGTCATTTCCAGCTGGAATAAATAATATTTGCTTTCGAAATAACCATTCGAAGGCGCGATCGGGGAAAAGAAAAAAAAAAAAAAAACAACCAAATGATACCCTATAGAAACAAAGTTTTTTTTGAAAAACATTCCCCTACCCTCGACAACTCAAACATTGACATCAACAAAGCAGTTGACACCAGTTTGGTGTAACTTGAGCGCCTACATTGTTTTGACACCAAAAACAAACACACACACACAAATTCCTAAGGCAAATCAAATCTCGTGAATCACGTATGTAATACAACCTTGTTTTACACACCTCTCGTGTAAAGTTTGCGCTGAACGGAGTGGTCAATACTTACGGCTCGAAAAATCATGGCAAGCCACCTATACTTGTGTACTGCCGAGATTGCGCGGAGCAAACATCATCGCGTTCCCCGACGTTAAATATTGACTCGTTACTTTACGCCCATGCGATATATATATATATATATATGTATACTCACTCCGTGCCATCACCGCTGATAAGCATCTTTTGAATTAGATGAAAATTGAATTTGCCCACCAACGGAGCCTATTGATTGAAGGTATGAACGATTTCTTGGTTCAACATCGAATCTTTGGCCAAAATAAACACTTTGGCCTTCGTTCACAAGTATGCTAAAATAACATTTAAAGTGCATGGTTGAAATTTTTTTGTATTGGTATTTCATCATGAACTAGCTCCGCGAAACCAAGACATACAGGTATGTAGTACGAAAAACATCGATACATGTAGGCTGCGGTGCGCACAACCTTTCTGACACCGGCATAACTCGTTTGACAGTGCATTCAGTCAACGATGGTCTATTTGTACATGTACAGTAGTATAAAAGACCACTTCATCAAAGTCTCAAGTGCACAAAACTACATACACGTTTCATTTTGACTTGGTAAAAAATGTCTTGAAACCATACGCGGATAGGTTTTTTTGCCGAAAATGGTTGCGTCGAAGCACGAATCAAACAAACATTTCATGCTGCTTCGATCATTCGTGTGATTTTTTGCTGTACAGATAGTAAATTAACGATTCTGGTACTACTAAAATATTTGTTTAGGTAGCGTTAAAAAATATGCTGTAATAATGAGAGAGAAAAAATAACGACACGTTTGGGGTGATAAGACACACGATTAGATACGTCTGTACGATTGTAAAGAAAATTTGGTCAACACTTTAATTGCGTATATCTCGAGATTTTTTAGTCACGTGAAAGATCAACTCGATCATTTGTCTAAAGCTCATTAATATTGTTGAAGTGAATCGGGTAAACGCGTGGAAGTGTAAGAAACCCACGAAAATTAAGGTGTGCAAGTGAAAAAAAATAAATAAAAAAAAAAAAGGGTACGGCCGGTTCGAGGATTCAGTGCGGTTGACGGCGCAGCGGCACAAAGCAGGAAGAGTAGCGCGCGGGCGCCAAATAAGCCATTATATCCACGCGGCGCACGACACGCTCTCTCGTTGCAAGAAAATATATATACATACACGTATATATACAAAGCAAGGAGAACGAGCTGCTGCTGCCGTTCAGTTCAGGGCTAGCCGCGCCACTCGACGGACGTCTGCCCAGTCGCGGATCTACTCTACTGCAGCCTGGCGATCGCGTGCGCGATTTTCTCGTTGAAAAATTTGGTGTTTGTTGTTTTTTTCTTCTTTTTTTCTCTTCAAACTGTATTTGTATATACTCGCGTTAAGTTGACTGTTAAGGGTGATCGAGAGAGGACTTTGGTGGTGAAGTTTACGATTATTTTTGACAGATCGGTTGTTTCTAGGGAACAGTTTTAAAAGGATTCCTCATTGTTTTCGTGAAGCTTTAGAGCCCTTTGGAATTATGTGAAGGAGAGTGTCATGTTGAAAAATTTTTCATGTCAGAGAAGGTAATTGCTTACATTTGGGTATTAAAACATTTTATCGATGCAAAGTTTCGTCAAAATTTTGGTATTATTAATAAACCAAGGGTAATTCATATTGTTCGGTAAAATTTGTAAAAAAATATTTCATTCACTACACCATATACGCATTTTGGACAATAAGTTTGCAAGTTTGACGTGATTTTTGTAAAAACTCTTTGATGGAAATGAAAAAAAAATGAATCAATACCTTGAAATATTTTAGGAATTATAAATGATCCAAACGATGGTTGATAAAATGTTTACCAACAGCATTTATGAACGAATCTATAGTAGACATAAAATTTCGTTTGGCTTTTTTAATAGCTCTAAAAAATAAGACCGGCAGGGCGAAAACAAGCTTTTAATATGATTCGTAACAATAATATTTAAAAAAAAAATTAGGTGACACTACGCATATCGTAGTTAAATCTTCGAATTAAGTAGAGTCTCGGGTTAACAACAAAAGAGGCTATTTACAAGCAAATGGCTCGTTTCGAATGCAGATAAGAAGGGAGATTTTGTTTGTGGAAAATGATCCAAAAATTGATAACGAGACAAAGGTCCCATCACGAAGAGTGCCATTACGATAAAAAGTGTCCGTAGAGCTTCCGCGGAACCTATGCGAGCCCATTTGCATAATTTATTCGTGTCGTAGCGAGATTGCCATCCTAAATATTTTAGGAAGCAATACGATAGTAACTTCAAATAAATTTAAAGTGAACATTAGCTGCAACTCACGCGCGTTTAATTTGTTAATTACAACGCAATAATGGCAAAGTAGATTCGTGAAATTGCGGCTCATCACCCTTTTTCCCGGAAAATTGGTCCATATTTTTCCAGCTAGAAGGCACGGCAAAAGTTGCACTTTTGACCTTCCTCTCGCAACTAGTGGTTATTAGCAGTGGAAAAACCACTAACCCATCACTCTCTCGTGATTCCGGGTGATAAACCACTGCGAAAAAAATCCACGAGTTACGGTAGTGTCCGTAAAAAAAGTGGAGCTCGTCGTGGGGCAATTGTAATAGATTCTTGTGAAGCGTCTACCATGTATCTAGCAAACAAAGAGCAAAAATGTAGGTGTGAGTGGGTAGACGTGTATATTCCACAGGTATCCGCGCGACAAGCAGACACCCGTTGCTTCAACAGTCTCGAAGTGATAGGACCAAAGCGCGGAAGTAAGGAGCGATGCACTTCCGCTTTAACTTCTTTTCTCTACATCTCTAGTCCCTTCAAAGGGTATTGGATTTTCCCATTGGTACGGTTGTCGTTACTAAACAGGATTTTTTTTCAACATGTTTTTTATTTATTTTAGTCCCTTGGAAGGACTAACGCGTGTGACACAGCAAAGGTTGAAAAGTATATTCTTTACGGAATATTAAAGATGCAGTTTTTTTCTATCGGTAGATGGGCACGCGCTATTTTTACCAAAATATTTCGGAGACACTTGAGGTGTTGTTTAGTTTCGCCACCAACATCAAAATAAAAATTTTTTGACCAAAGACTCGGTGACGTTTGCTGTAAAATTTATATAGATATTTTTCAGTAGAGATTGAAACAATTCTAGTGTACGTTAAATTTAAATTTAACCCGAGTAACAGTGTTGTATGTTACCGAAAAGTAACGGTAGGTACTTTTATTAAAGGTTATTGTGTTGAGAATTATATTAAATTTCCTCCGAAATCCGTATCAAACGACAGCCATTTGGTATGACAGAGAAGGATGTTGGAACGAGGGTCTCGAGGATTCCTTCTCGTGTCCCGCGGTTCAGTTGAAACTCAACTGAGAATTTCCATTTAGACAACGTTGCCTCAGCCAGGGATTGCGGAAGGTCCGAGAGATTTTTCGTCGGGGAAAATGTCTGTCGTGACTCCGCAAATAATCCGTCGTGCGTCAAAAAAGCCCCGGAGGTGTATAGCTACACGATTCCTTTTAACAGTGGCAAAATGTAATAAAGGCCGTGTGCGTGAAAAAAAAGTTTTTGCCCTGGCAAAAGGAGATTGAAAGGAAAATCAATTGAACTTTCTTCTCGGTCCACCTTATGAAAACAGACCAAAACGAATTGGAAGAGAAACACTTTTGGCCTTTTTTGGCGTTATTAGCAGATTAAGTTGGTCTTAATGGCAGAGGAAGGACGGTACGTGTGTTTGGATTGGCCGTAGTCACGAGTGCGCCCAAGACTCGAGGAGTACCAGCAATAATATACGGCTCTGGTATCACATGGCACCCCTTAATTATTTTTCATGGATACACGGGCACATGTACACGTCGGGAAAATCGGAACAGGGGGAAACCCAAATTGCTGTATTGTTTTGAAGAGCTGCAAAAGTACATTTATCATTTTTTTCCTCGTGAGCTTGTTTTTAAAAAAGAAAGAAAGAAACAAAGAAAGAGAAAAAGGTACAACGTATTAATGTATTTTGTCTCTGCAAGGAGCACAGATAAACTGCAAGTCTGATCATGAGTTGAAAAATTGGAGAATATTTTTTTTGCCATTTAGCATAATTTTTTTACTCTTTCAATTTTTTTTTCTAGAAATTAATAAGGAAATTTTGCAACCTAGGCAAATTTGTCATGTACCATTGATAAACAATTTCTGAACTTAACTTTTTGTTTTTTTTTTTTTTTTT